TTTTACTGTTATTTCTTTGGGGGGGGGGAAGTAGTGAAACAGTTTGTTAAATATTGATAGCAATATTATAAATATAAGGCAAGGTTAGTTCAGGTTGAAAAATGTAATTGGTGTCTCCCCCAAAACTTGATCATTTATAATATTTGTTTAAAATAATACTCTTTGCTTCCTCAAAAATATAACTACACCAGATAACATTTTAGAGCAAATATTACATTTACACTTTTATTGGAATGAATGAAAAAAAAAAAACGAGTAGTGCTTTAAACTAGATCTTTTAAATAACATTTCTTTGGACACTCTTACTCATCATTGACCCCCTAAAAATGCTCTTTAGCTATGATTATATTCACAGAATTGCTTGATTATACAATCAAAATGACTTGAGTTTGCTAATGTGTTGGTTTGTGCACACCTGGCAGCCTGTGTAACCAAATTTCCAGCTCCCGTGCAGGTCTGAGGCTGCTGACATGGGGTAACCAATACCGGCTATGCCAATGTCAGTGACAGCCAGATTGATAATGATAGCATTCGTGGCAGTACGCAACTCTCTGAACTTCACAAACATCAGCAGCACCACAATGTTACTAGACAGACTGACCACTCCTGCCACCAGAGAGAAAGACACACAGACAGGGACAGCAGGAGGTTAAGACATCTGTGAACACACAGACGTCCATTCAAAACATTTCCCATTTTCAGTTTTCCATTTTACACACACACCCTGCTGGTTACCTCACACACTTGGCTGAATCTGTAAATGTCAGTTTCAAGGAATGTTTAAAAACATGTGCTGTATCTAATCCTAGGCCTCAAAGGTAAGACAAAGATAAGCCTTACTGAACTTTTACAATTTACAGGTTTTTACAAAAACCTTTAATCAGAAGATGCCAACTCAAAAACCTGATAATTACTAAATTAGTTATTTAAAAGTGACAGTACATTTATAGCTGACTAGTAACATCAAATACACCAAGTACACACACACACACACACACACACACACACACGCACACACACAATCTGCTTTTTACCTGCGGTTATGAGGTATGCAGCAACAATATTGTGCTCTGTTTGTGTGAAGGCACTCTTTTCACCATATACGGTCTCAGCAGAAGCGTTCAGGAATCCAGTTGCCATCTCTTTGTCACACATAATCATATATATATACCAGTCAGGCTAACATTCACATCTGTTCAAACAAAATCATGTGGCTTGAAAGAATTTGAAGTCCAGACTCTCCCTCTCTTACCTAGAAGCAGATCATGAAACTGTTTGTGTGTGTGTGTGTGCTTAGGGGATGAAGAAGGTTATGGGGTGATTGTGGGAATGAAGGGCTGGAAAAGCATTGACCTGGATTATGTTCTCTAATTATATTTTCTGCTTGGTTTGTGAGGACTGAAGAAACCGTTGTTTCGGTACTAATCCTCACATGAAAGCTTCTCATTCCGTGCAACAGAAAAGCTCTCTTGGAATGTGGAGTACATGTCATTAACATATTTCACTTTTTAAAACAAGAAATGTGCAATAATATAATTGATAAGCAGGATTCGGCAATTCAAACGTTTAGCTGACGAGTGTCTAAAAAAGACCCCAGGATTGTGTGTTATGCAGATAATTAAAACACATCTTGCAGCATTATTGCTATTTCAAGAATGTCAAGTTTGGATTAAACAGCTTGTGCCCTATTAATGAGTAAATTTGGCTCATTGTTATAACAGAGTAAAAATAGAATTTTGATACTCAGACTTAAAACACTTAAAAATAAAGGTTCCAAAAGGGGATTTTGCAGCGATGCCGTGGAATAACCATTCTGGCAATCTTTCTTTAAAAAGTTCATAAAAGAAACCATTTTTTTCTTCGTCTGAAGAACATTTTTCCACTATTAAGAATCTTTTGTGCAATGGAAAGGTCTATGGATGTCAGAGGTCACTGATGTAGCCACCGATGTCAATAAAGAAGTATTTTTCATCAGACATTCTATAATGTGGAGCACAAGTGATACCTGATTGCTAGCCCTGTACTGTCCTCAGTGATCTCTTTATTCTGAGCTATTTAAACAACAGCCTTTACTAAGACCACAGCACCGTGATGCAAGATTTAATAGATTTATTTTCAGAGAATCTAATGTTATTCATTTTGAAATTAAATTCAAAGCCAAATGGCCAAATAAACAGTATACAGCAAATCATAAAATAAATAAACTAGGTTATATATTAAAAATGACTGAATGGATTATAAGTATTATAAGAAAAAGTTAAGATATCACGACGTACAAATACATATAGCCATTTTATAAATTTTTCTTTCCTTATAATCCTCATATTATGATTATAAACATTAAAATGACTTGATATATTAAGGGCTGAAGATAAACTCTCTTCTTATCTATAAACATAAACAGCAACTCCAACATCAACCGCTAGATGGCCACGGACTCTGCTTGGACGGGATGTTTGACGGATATTACGTACACGGAAAGGCTTGTGTTTTCTGTCATGTGATGAGCGCACATAAACAAGCGAAGAACTTTTGATAAAATTGGGTTAAAGTGAAGGTAATTTTGCATATTATATAGGTTTCCTCAATTTAAAACAATTTACTAGATTAGAAATGTTGGTAGTTATTTGGTCTTTGCTTTTAAACGAGACGATGAGATGCATCTGTCAGAGTTTCGTGTAATTTCCTCGTCGCTCTGTACTCTTTTTGTTGCAGGGTGCAGCAGGCGAACTCTATATTCAATCTGATGAATATGGCAGATGTGAGTATATTTGTAATGCATTTGCTTAAATGTTTTTTTCTTCTTCTTGGAAATGTTATAATGGGTTTGATTTAATTATTACAGAATCTGAGGAGTTATTTGTATAAACAACTGCCAAGGTAAACAGATGTATTGTGTATTTTACTCAAGTTATTTTACCCCTCCATTATGCATTGGGAGATGTAACTTTAATGACTGATCATTTTTCTCCGTCATCAGTGTTGAAGGACTCCATGCAATAGTGGTGACAGATAGAGATGGAGTCCCTGTAATCAAAGGTAACAGCATCAGCTCTGAGCTCCAGGTCTGTTTGTAGATCTGCTTAAGCTTTATCTGAGATTTTGCTTGATTTCCCTTTTAGTTGCCAATGACAATGCCCCTGAATATGCACTGCGGCCAGCGTTCCTGTCCACCTTTGCGTTGGCAACTGACCAGGGCAGCAAGCTGGGTTTGTCCAAAAATAAGAGCATCATTTGTTATTATAACACTTACCAGGTACTTTCTTTACAGAAATTAAAGTACATTTGACTTACTACTTGTTAAGAATTTCTCATTTTATTATATGCTGTTATTTCATTGGCAGATTGTACAGTTTAACCGATTACCCTTAGTCATAAGTTTCATCGCAAGTAGTAATGCAAACACAGGTGAGTCTCCACAGGTAATACGAAAGCCACTGAGCTGCTTTAGTTGTATGTTCATTATAATAATGATCAAATTCCGTTTTTTTTATTTAGGTCTGATCTTCAGTCTTGAGAAGGAGCTAGTTCCTCTGATTGAAGAACTAAGGCAGGTGGTGGAAGTAGCTTAGCAGTTATTCATCTCAACACCTACAGACATGTGGATGAGGATAAGAAAGCCAGATATCACTCATCCAGCCTGATGTCTTGATGTCGTAGTTCATACACAATGTTGGATGGTCTTGATGCTGTATGTCTTTTATGAATGTAACCTGCTCCTTTTTGTCTCCTCATTAATAAATTTGTCTAAAGCTTTGGTTTACAAAAATACATTTTTTATTGGCTTTTTTTTAATCATTTTTTACATGGTAAAAAAACAATTCTTGGTTGGAAAATAGGTACTGTGTACATGTTTCTAAACAAAGCAAGAGTGCTCATTGTCAGTTCACACATCACATTAGAAGTAGCATTGCTCCTTAGAGAATTTATAATTTTATTATAATTTTAACTTTGGTGATCTATAGAGTGCTGCAGGGATTCAGTATTTTTGTAGCCTAAAACCCAGTAACGAGTAATAATTTTAGCACGTTCAGTTCCATCATCCTGAAATCAATGGGGTTTTTTTGAATGGGGTTTTTGGTTAAATGCCTGAAATAGTGTTTGTAGTTAACACAAGCTCAGGATTGTTTCATGTCTTGTTCTACAACAAACGGCTAAATGGGTCTACAGAGGTTGTTGGGGACATTAAAAGTAATTAAGCCAAACAGGTAAACTCATCTAATCCACTTTCACAGCCTTGTCTTCTTGTACATAATCCCGCTCCTGAAAACCATTCTAACTTTAAAGGAAAATATTTTTCAACTAAAGACCGAATGAGTTGTCAGACTTAGAAGCTTAGTAGTGGTGATGTTTGTTTATAGGCTACGTTTAGTTTTTTATTTATGGTGATTGTATTTAAGATTTAAAATTCGTAAGATGTGTTTATTTATGAAGCTTATCATGATGAACAAGTATATAGGAAGTATATTGCATCCAAAGGTTTCAACTAATAAAATTAATTATATCTTTACCTCGGTTGCAAACATGTATATAAGGGGGGGATGTATACATTTAAGAGCAGACACAGTTTTTTTGAATGGGGTTTTTGGTTAAATGCCTGAAATAGTGTTTGTAGTTAACACAAGCTCAGGATTGTTTCATGTCTTGTTCTACAACAAACGGCTAAATGGGTCTACAGAGGTTGTTGGGGACATTAAAAGTAATTAAGCCAAACAGGTAAACTCATCTAATCCACTTTCACAGCCTTGTCTTCTTGTACATAATCCCGCTCCTGAAAACCATTCTAACTTTAAAGGAAAATATTTTTCAACTAAAGACCAAATGAGTTGTCAGACTTAGAAGCTTAGTAGTGGTGATGTTTGTTTATAGGCTACGTTTAGTTTTTTATTTATGGTGATTGTATTTAAGATTTAAAATTCGTAAGATGTGTTTATTTATGAAGCTTATCATGATGAACAAGTATATAGGAAGTATATTGCATCCAAAGGTTTCAACTAATAAAATTAATTATATCTTTACCTCAGTTGCAAACATGTATATAAGGGGGGGATGTATACATTTAAGAGCAGACACACTGTTTAGCTTGGGTTGGAGAAGAATAAGAAGAACTGAAAGCTCAACACAGAACACAATATCGGAAAAAAACACCTATTGTCAATTATAATCGCAACATTGGTAGTGCACAGCCTCCAGATATCTTTATAAAGCACAATAGCACGGTGCCTTGGGACTTCACTTCACTTAGATGTGATTTATTGCCCAGAAGGCATCTTATGTGTGATGAGCTGTACAACCATGATGCCAAGATCACAGAGCATCAGATGCAGTGAATAAATCCTCTGTATTTACTAATACAAAACTGCACACAGCTTGCATTTGCTCCAGTACTTCTCTCCGAGTTGAACATCATCGTCCTTTCTTTATCTGTGACTGGAAATGCAGGGTAGTCATCATTAGAGATACGGACAACAGAGAGATACATTTATGATTAGACTGGTGTAGTGGGTTCAGATGAATTTATTTCCACTGGAACAAAGAAATAATACACTATTTGACTATTACCTAGATTGATTATTCATAGTGACTGTTCTTTCATTGGTTCCTCTTACCAGTTTCCATCGTAGTATCTTAATCCATTCATCTGCCTCAGCACCAGATTTTGCACAGAAATAAAATGTCCTCTCGGGGAGCACCAGACTAGGAAAAAGAGAAAAATGAAAAATCTTAAAGAGTTGTAATCATTGTAAAAAACAAAGCAAAAAAAAAAAAACATCTATAGCACTGTGTAGAAGAACATGGAAAAAAAAAAAAAAAAAAAAAAAAAAACATCTATAGCACTGTGTAGAAGAACATGGAAAAAAAAAAAAAAAAAAAAGAAATAGGCCAGATACTAGAGGTAGAAATACCTCTAGATCCAGTGGTGTGTTTATTGGGAGCACTGCCTAAATTTTTTTTATTGTCAATTGTCACACTGTCTACAGTGTTCGGAGCGAGGAGATACAGAGACGAAGGAGATAACTTCACAATCTTTAATGAACTCAATAGCAGGGAACACAGGCCAGGCAGGAGACACACGTAGCGCACACACCATGGAAGTACAAAATGACGTTAACACTGGACAAAGGAAATCAGGGACAAACACCACTATATATACACAAGACTAAACGAGGGTAATTGACGAGACACACCTGAACCAAATGACTAATCAAACGAGAGGGAGAAACTGGGTCATGGGGAGCACATGGGGAGAAAACACAACAAAACAGGAACATAGGTCTGACAACAATGAGGAAAATAGATATGTACTAAGGATATTGTTATTGATATCTAAAAACATTATAACAGTACATTGAAGAAGGTTCTCCAAGTTTGGTTCAATGGACTCAGAGACTGAAACAGGTTTATATAATTGAATAAAATGACGGCATGGGTTAGATGGGTTAGTAATTTAAGATGAGTCAACTAATGTAATATTAATATAACATTAATTTAACCTGCTCTTGGGATTTAATGTACAAATGTTTCCTCCGCAAAGAGAATGCATGATGACAGAGAATTTATTTTATTTATTTTTCTCTCTCTCTCTCTCTCTTTTTGGTCTGTCCCTCATTTGTAAGGGGTTCAAATTTTGGGGATGGGGATGTTCTGTAAAAATATAAAAACCATAAATAAATTTTTTTTTAAAGTTGTATCATGAAGTAAAAGGCTGAAATTAAGCATGCATTGGAAAATATGTGGGCAGGAGGAAGTCCATGTATAAGAGTTTCTGACTATACTTCCTCATTACTGAGAATCACTTGCATGTAGGAAAATATCAGATACACAATATCTATGAATAACACAATACTAGGATTTTGATATCAAATTGTAATTACTTTCTATTATCACCTCTTGGTCGGTAGACAGACAGCGTGAATTTTGATTCATGTCATGCACATTGTCTAATGCTGATTTAGTGAGTACAGGAACTGTAAGCTGTCAGCCACTTGAATGCTGCAGATATACCAGCTCATTTTCAGTTGCCAAAAATAGACAGTCATTTTATGGTTGGCCAACTGCAGAAGTTTCAGATGTAAAAACAGATACGATATGTAGTCTAGCACAATAGAAAGGGGTCTTATTTTTCATCAAAAACTTTGCTTTTGTAATTAAATGAAACAGTCTTCCATTTGAGTTATCTCTATTTATTACCGTTTCTCTAAACCCTTAATGGGTAAAGTAACAATATTTAACTTTATATTTATAGTTATATTTTTAACTGTAGCCACTCTTGTTACATAAAAACATACAGCATTCAGAATTGAACTGAGCTGGCCTTGTTGATTTTGGCAGCAAACTAGGGTTATTATTGTTAAATAAAACTAAAACCATAAAAAAATTCACTACTTTTCATTACTTGCAATAAAACATAAAATTACAAAAGATAAACATTTACTGAAATAAACATGTCATTTTCGTTTAGTTTAAATTTAAGTAGAGAGAGACAGAAAACGTGCATTATGTATTATCATGAATTATCACTTTATTATAAATCTCTTACCAGAAGCAGTTGACCCTCTCCTGACTGTAATCAAACTGGACAGCAGAGCACTCCGTCAGATCCAGGGTTCGTATTGGCTCTACAAACTGAGGAGACAGTTTTCTGTGAGATAAACAATCAACTTTAGTTCTTATCTAATTTAAATCTTGTTGTACAAAATACACAGACCTACCATTTTATCCTTGAAATATTTAAGTTCATTTCTATTCAGTGTGAACCATCTCTGCTTCCAGTTCTACCCAGAAAATAAATAAAGAGTAATCCGTCAGCCAATAAAACTAGGTCTAGGTTTGCTCTAGAACCAGTTTAACCCAGTTACAATTTACCTTATTAGCGTGAAACTGGCATTTACCGCAAACACTGGTTTGAATTTTGAATAGTCTATGTTTACATAGTAACTTTTGTAACCATACCTTGATTATCGCTCCTTGTTTAACCAGATAGCCTTCTTTAGTGCCAAGCTGTTGACAACATAAAAGCACTTTCGATTCAGGAGCTCAGATAATACTAAATACACAAATAAATTAATTAATGTTATTATTATTAAAGTGCCCCTATTATGGATTTTTGAAAATTACCTTTCATGCAGTGTGTAACACAGCTCTAAGTGAATGAAAACATCCTGCTAAGTCTTAAATCTGAAAGTGCACCGTGTATAAAGTTATGGTCTCTCAAAAGAAAGAGTCGACTCTGAATCATTGAACGAGTCGTTTTTAAAACGAATATTAAGCTGTTTCATGTTGAAGTCAACATGAAACATTAGCATATTGCCCGCCCACTTGTTGGTCTTTTCCCATTGGTCTGAATGAAAAAGTAAATTCATTCTTTGCCACTAGGTGCCGCTTTTGGAGCGGTAAAAATAGCGGTTTCCCCGGTAATGCTGTACACAAAGCAGCACTGCTGCTGCTTTATCAGGCATTACAGGCATGATGCAATGGAAATGAGACCAATCGGACCAATCACCGCAGAGTAGCATCACGCAAAGGAGGGGTTTGGAAAAATGAATCCTTGAGCGAATCGTTTGGGAGTCGTTGAGCAAGTAAGGTAAAAATAAATACATATAAGACAATGAAAGTGTTTTTTGACCTTGCATGCATGTCAACATATTGTTGGGGACTCCCAAAACCAAAATATGAACCTTTCATAACCCATAATAGGGGCACGTTAAGATTATTTTTGCTCTTTCCAAGCCACATTCATACTCTTTCAAATGCAGTATGTGTGTGTGCAAGTGGGTCTGTAAAATGTCATTTTGACTTACTGCTGGAGCATTAGGCACTAGGTCGTTTTCATGCCGGCCTGTCTGCATGACCGTATGCACACACACCGTCTCATAAATGGATGGCTCTTCCACCTGCCGTGGGTATGGGAACCGCAGCACTATCAGGTTTCCTTGGTTACAAGAATGAAACAGGAAACAGGGTCACTGTGCCAAAGAAATGCTGAAAAGCAGTTTGTGAACTGTAAGTTAAAAGCACATAGCTAACCTGTCTCGCTGCCTAGCAAGGGCTGATTGGCAAGGTGACTGCAAAAATCCTGAAGGGAAGGAAATTCATTGAAGCCAAAGGAATATTTGCCAAACTGCTGCCGGACATGAAAGTGTTTCACTGAATCCTTTGCTCTGAAGAAGTTTGGAGACGAAAAAGGGAGTGAGGAAGTGCTGTCATGCTGTGTCTGAAATCTCAGTATTGTTCAGTGTTAACTTGTTTATAGAACAATATTTGGCCGAGATACAACTATTCTCGGAAAAATCTGGAATCTGAGGGTGCAAGAAAATTGCCATTAAAGTTGACCAAATGAAGTGCTTAGCAATGCATATTACTAATGATAATACATGTTTGATATATTTACAAAAAATATATTTACAAAAATACAAAATTTGCAAAATATCTTCATGGAACATGATCTTTACTTAACATCCTAATGATTTTTGGCATAAAAGAAAAATCGGTAATTTTGACGCATACAATGTATTTTTGGCTATTGCTACAAATATACCTGTGCTACTTATGACTGCTTTTGTGGTCCATGGTCCCATTTATATATTTCAGTAGGAGTAAGAATAAGTAGCTTTACTTTAAAGACGCAAGACAAAGTGAGGTTCACAGCTGATACATTGAAAAGGGGAACTGAAAAAACTTTAAGTAATCTAAAGAACCTCAGAAAATAAGAGAAATGGAAAAAACAAAACTATTGGTTAATCATTTGACTTTTTAACTTGCTTGCTTAATGAAAGGTCAGAGGATAACAGTTCATTTTAGAAATGGCGAGTGACTATTTTGCTACGAATAACAAAAAACTTTCTATTCACCAAAGAATCCTGAAAAAAAGCATGCATGATAGTTTCCACAAAAATATTAAGCAGTGCAACTGTTTTCAACATTGATAATAAGAAATGTTTATAGAGCAGCAAATCAGCATATTAGAATGATTTCTGAAGAATCATCAGACACTGAAGACGGGAGTAATAACTGCTGAAAATTCAGCTTTGCCATCACAGGAATGATTTACATTTTTAAAATATTTTTAAAAATAGGAAAAAATAAAATAAAATAAATAAAAAATGAGACTTGGCTACCTGCAAAGCTACAATCCAATGAAAGTTTTGTTTTTAATTACTAAAAATAGTTAGGATGTTTTTTATTAACTAAGTCAAATTAATATTTGTCTATTGTCCAAAGTACCCTTGCATACAATTTTTAATGATAGCTTTTGCAGGTACATTCCTCCATAAATTGAACGGAGTGCACACAAGGACAATATTCAAGTGTGTTTGTGTCTGAGCAATACTGCACTTTAATATCAAAGTGATTCAACTGAGTGGACCAAGTACTTATAAACTTTTATCCGAGGTGGACATTTCTTACCGGACAGACAAAGCATAGCAGTCAGATCCTTTGTTGCTGTTTCTGAGTAAAAAACTCCCATCTACCCCATTCGAAAGGAGAAGAGCTTCAGCGGTGTGCCGGGACAAATCATAATGATACCAGCTACAGAGAGAAACAGAATGGGGCACTTGAACACCAAGCCAAGATGTATGTTGATATCCACTATTGTCTGTCAACATGCACACACAGTTACCAGAGCTTTGGAAACTGGCATCTGGGTTAGACAACACAATGGATATGTGTATTATATATTGATGCACATGAGTGATTTCTCTTAAAACAAGGATAACACAGCACTGCATTACCACAGCAACAAAATAAAGCTGATTTCATTTGCATATTTTACTTAAATGGAAATCCATTTAGGATTGTCATGTATTTCAAGAACGATGTACACATCACCATGCTTCTCTGTTATTAGACTGATATTACAGAACAGTGACCTTAATACAATAACCCGCAGGCTGTTTTGTGCCGTTTATTTACATAATGTGGTGGTGACATATTTGCTGTTGTTCCAGTGCTGGTATGGGTATGGTGTATTTGTCCCTCATTATGCCTATATATACATAGCCTTAGCATAATGTTATGGGGTAAATCTTATTATAAAAATAAAAAAATGTATGGACGGGCCTGTATCAACAGTCTTTTGACAATTGAATGTAAAACATCCACATGCATTACTGTAATTAGAATTGAGCTGAATGTGCTTACTGGTCATCAAAATAATGTCACAATGCAAATAAACAAAAAAAGCAAAAAAAAATAAAAAAAAATGAATGGCTCTTAACAGGCTCCTTTTGGGGTGAAATATAACCCTGACATGTTAGGCTTTGTGGGATTTCTAAAAAAGCCTTTGTTTAATGACTATGATACAAAAAAAGGAAAAAAAATACACTGAAAAATTTTTTTTTTACTTTTGTTTTGCTATGTTGCCCTTTACCGAAAAAAAAAATGATATACAGTGAATGAAAAAAAAATGTTTTACATATGTTTTGCTATGTTGCTCTTTAACAAAAAAAGGTAAATTATATACAATGAATAAAAAAAAGTTTTACATTTGTTTTGCTACATTGCCCTCTAACAAAAAAGTGAAATTATATAACAGTGAATGAGCAATACGTTTTCTTCAACCCTTTCATTCACTATAGATGAATAAAATGATAAAAGCATTTCCTCATTATTTCGCTGACGCCGCTATTAACTTCAGCAGCAAACAGGTGTAGCTACAAATCAATTAAACGGCACAAACCAGACAACAGTTTGCTCTTCATAAACTTATGTTTCTTTCTTTCTTTCTTTTTTGTTTTCATTCTCACATAACACTGTAAAAACAATATGATAAACTACTTTGACAAAACAAATTTAGGTCAAGAAACATAAAAGAGGATCTGAGACTGATACACACAAACTTTATTTAGGGGAGTTCAAATAAAAGAGTTTATGGTTACTGAGCTTAATCCTGTGATTATTACAGTACCGCCGCTCCCTATACGCAGAGTACGCAGTTTGCGTAGGGCACCAACTCCCAGGGGGGCACCATCCCAGTTGCTCAAAAAAAAAAAAAACCTTTCGTTCTATATTAATATTAACATATGCATTTACATAAATAAAAATCTAAACATGAACATATATATTATATATATAATTATAAAAAAATGAATTTTTCCGCTCACCTCATGTTTGCGCATGCGGCTGAATACAAACGATCATCATAATTAATGGACAACTAGGCTATATCAGGGAAAAGACATCAGCGCAGTCCGGCGATGAGAAAATAAAAATAAAAAAGCCTGATATGAAGCCTGTGCATCACTTTCAGGTAACTACGCTCATAATCCTGTGAAACTTTTTTGACTGTTGACGTTAGTAACGTGTTTTAATGTCAGTAATAATTTCACCTCCACCAACAACGCATCTGACTTAATATTCTAGTTTCCATGACTTAAAATGTATTATTACACGGCTCTGTGGAATACGACATTCCGAGGTATGCTATCCCTCGATAACATCCGGTAAAAGCTAATAACACAGGCTCATCGAGAAGGGTATAACTGCAGCCTGGAGATCTCCAAATGGGGGCGGGAACTCCAAAACGG